CTAAACCCTAAACCCTAAACCCTAAACCCTAAACCCTAAACCCTAAACCCTAAACCCTAAACCCTAAACCCTAAACCCTAAACCCTAAACCCTAAACCCTAAACCCTAAACCCTAAACCCCAAACCCTAAACCCTAAACCCTAAACCCTAACCCTAAACCCTAAACCCTAAACCCTAAACCCTAAGCCGTTCTTCTGGTTTCCAACCCGACTTGCAGCCAGGTGGGCGGCTTTGAGTGCTACCTCGCCGCCGATGAGGCGGGGCATCTCCCGTCCCTTGATCCTCGAAGCTTGGGCTGTGGGGTTTAGGGTTTAGGGTTTAGGGTTTAGGGTTTAGGGTTTAGGCTTAGGGCTTAGGGTTTAGGGTTTAGGGTTTAGGGTTTAGGGTTTAGGGTTTAGGGTTTAGGGTTTAGGGTTTAGGGTTTAGGGTTTAGGGTTTAGGGGGGTTTGTCCATAGGCGTTTAAGGCTCGGAGTTGAGGGATGCACATCGGGAAACCCCTATGGAGCCTTCGGGAAGGGTATGAGCCTAAGCCCTCAACCCTAAACCCTAAACCCTAAACCCTAAACCCTAAACCCAGCCCTAAACCCTAAACCCAAAACCCTAAACCCAAAACCTGTGGGGAATTCGGGTTCGGGTTTTAGGGTCTAGGGATCGGGCGGCCCCTCTGAAACCTCTTTGTTTTGGTAGGACATATGGCTGTTCGAACTTCTAAACCCTAAACCCTCGACCCTCAACCCTACGCTCTACTTCGTTTGGGCCTTAAACCCTCAGCTCCAAACATACTTAAGCGACCTGCGAGCCATCCTGCACAAACCCAAAGCCGCCAAACAGAGTAGAGTTGAGGGTTTAGGGTTAAGGGTTTACCCTGAACCCTAAACCCTAAACCCTAAACCCTAAACCCTAAACCCTAAACCCTAAACCCTAAACCCTAAACCCTAAACCCTAAACCCTAAACCCTAAACCCTAAACCCTAAACCCTAAACCCTAAACCCTAAAACCTAAAACCCTAAACCCTAAACCCTAACCCTAAACCCTAAACCCTAACCCCCTAAACCCTAAACCCTAAACCCTAAACCCTAAACCCTAAACCCTAAACCCTAAACCCTAAACCCTAAACCCTAAACCCTAAACCCTAAAGCTCAAGCCCTTAGGCTGAGTCTTTGGCAACGGGGAGTTCGCGTGACTCGAGGGCTATAGGATCCTATCAGAAGCCCTCAAGGAGAAGAAAGCGCCCCAGTGCCCCAAAACTATGAACCCCCCATAAGCCCCAAAAACCCTGAAGCCCCCCCCCAAGCCCCCGAAACCTGAACCCTGAACCCTATACCCTCAACCCTAAACCCTAGACCCTAGACCCTAGACCCTAGACCCTAGACCCTAAACCCTAAACCCTAAACCTTAAACCCTAAACCCTGAACCCTAAACCCTAAACCCTAGACCCTAAACCCTAAACCCTAAACCCTAAACCCTAAACCCTAAACCCTAAACCCTAAACCCTAAACCCTTAGCGGCTTCCTTTACGGGCTTGCCCCCGCAAGGAGGAAGAGACGGTGGAAGCCCAAGAGGCCGGCTTTTGCCCCTTAAGGGTTTAGGGTTTAGGGTTTAGGGTTTAGGGTTTAGAGTTTAGGCTTTAGGGTTTTGGGTTTAGGGTTTAGGGAGGAGGAGCCTCAGAGGCATCGTTATGGTCAGGGTTTAGGGTTTGGGGTTTGGGGTTTAGGGGTTTTGGGTTTGGGGTTTGGGGTTTAGGGTTTGGGTTTGGGGGTTGAGGGGGTGGGTTTAGGGTTTGGGGTTTGGGGTTTAGGGTTTGGGGTTTGGGGTTTAGGGTTTGGGGTTTAGGCTTCAGGAACGAAGGCCAATTAAACCCCAAACCCAAAACCCTAGACCCTAAACCAAAAAAGAAGCCCGAAACCGTAAACTCTAAACCCTGAACCCTCAACCCCAAACCCTAAACCCTGCCACGACGAGACGAAGAAGAAGAAGAAGAAGAAGAAGAAGAAGAAGAAGAAGAAGAAGAAGAAGAAGAAGAAGAAGAAGAAGAAGAAGAAGAAGAAGAAGAAGAAGAAGAAGAAGAAGAAGAAGAAGAAGAAGAAGAAGAAGAAGAAGAAGAATAAGAAGAATAAGAAGAAGGAGAAGAAGAAGAATAACAACAATAATAATGAGAGCAATATCAAGAATAACAATAATAATAAGAAGAAGAAGAAGAATAAGAAGAAGAAGAAGCAGAAGCCGAAGCCGGCAGCAGCCGATCTCAAGCCCCGATGCAGACTCAAAGGATTCAAGGACGAGCCTTAGAAGCGACCCTGGGGTTGCTTAGGGTTTAGGGTGTAGGGTTTGGGGTTTAGGGTTTTTGGTTTAGGATTTGGGGTTTAGGGTTTTAGGGTTTAGGGTTTAGGGTCTAGGGTTGAACCGGTGATAGCCAGTGATTGCATGCAGCAGCAGTTGGAACTCGTGGCGGTCCGCTGCCATCCTATCACTCTGTCAGAATATATAGACCCTATATCCTACACCCTGAACCTAAGCCTAAACCATAAAGTTTAAACCCTACACCCTGAATCCTAAACCCTAAACTAAGCCCTACACCCTGAACCTAAACCCTGAATCAAAAACCCAAAGCTTCAAGAACTTGAATCCTAGACCCTCAGTCGCCGCGTTTCTTGAACAGCCAATTCTTTTTTTGGATCTAAGAATGTAGGGTTTAGGACCACTTTAGGAACTTTATGGTTAAGGGTTAGGGGCTTAGGGTTTAGGGCCTAGGGGGAAGGGAGTTTAGGGATTTAGGGTTTAGGCTTCAGGGTTTAGGGGCTTGAAGATCATCTGGCCTCTGGGATCTTGTTTTTGGCGAGGGCTTTCTAGGTTTAGGGTTTAGGGTTTAGGGTTTAGGGTTTAGGGTTTAGGGTTTAGGGTTTAGGGTTTAGGGTTTAGGGTTCAGGGTTTAGCGTTTAGGGTTCAGGGTTTAGGGTTAACAGGCTTTATGGGTTCTACGCAGTACGGGGGTCCGGGGATGTAGGGGCTTGGCTTGCGTGGTTTCATCGGTCTTGATAAACTGCAGTGCCGACAGCTCAGTCGGACTCTACAGCTACGGGCCGCATGCCCTTACCAGCGTCGCGCCCCTAAACCCTAAACCCTAAACCCTAACCCTAAACCCTAAACCCTAAACCCTAAACCCTACACCCTACACCCTAAACCCTGAGCCCTAAGCCCTAAGCCCTAAACCCTAAACCCTAAACCCTAAACCCTAAACCCTAAACCCTAAACCCTCGCCCTAAACCCTAAGCACTTCGGAGGTTTACCGGGGTGCTGACACAGATGGCCCTCTGGCAACCCGGCTGGCAGGAGGATGGTCACGTAAGGAGGTTCTTCTTTCAAGCCTGACGCTGCCCGAGATGTTTGTCTAGGGCTTTAGGGTTTAGGGTTTAGGGTTTAGGGTTTAGAGTTTAGAGTTTAGGGTTCAGGGTTCAGGGCTAGGGCTAAGAGCGTTTAGTGTTCAGGAACCCCGAACCCTAAACCCCAAACCCTAAACCCCAAACACTAAACCCTAAACCCCAAGCCCCCAGAATTCAAACCCTAAGCCCTGAGCCCTGAAATTTGACAAACGTCAGGTTCCAACGCGGGCTGTAAAATGGGCCTTTTGGGGTTTGGGGTTCAGGATTTGAGGTTTAGGGTTCAGGGTTTAGGATTTGGGATTTGGGGTTTGCGGTTTAGAGTGTAGGATTAGAGGTTTGGGGTTTGGGGCTTAGGGTTTAGGGTTTGGAGATCACAAAGCCCCAGTCTAAAGCCAAGACGTAGGAATTTTAGCCAGTTTTACGGCCTTGGAAACCCCCAAATGGCCAATTGTCCCTGTGCCAACCTCTTTATACCTTAGAGTTTTATAACGCGTTCTGCAGTGGTACCTTCTTCTTCGTTCCGGGCCCGGGATCCTGATGTGTAAGGTCCTTCAAGCAAAGAGGCTTGTGCTTCCCCTGCGCCAAGAGCCTAAACCCTCAACCCTAAACCCCAAACCCAAAACCCAAACCCTAAACCCTAAGCCCTAAACCCTATACACCCAAGAAGGCTGATCCTCGGCGACTTAGGATACTCCCCCTATGAAGCCATCGGGGCTTAAAGGCGTCGAGGTGCTTAAGGCCAAGCTGTGCAAGGAATCATCTCATCACCGGTAAACCCCTACATTCCCTAAACCCTAAACCCTAAACCCTAAACTCTAAACCCTAAACCCTAAACCCTACACCCTAAACCCTAAACCCTAAACCCTAAACTCCTAAACCCTAAACCCTAAACCTGAGCCTACACTCTTGAGCCCAGAACCCGCGAACCCAAGCCCACTGCTCGTGCCGCGCGCCGGAAGCTTCCTTACCAGCGACTCAATCGTCTGAGACCCTGCAAACCCTAAACCCTACATCCTACACCCTACACCCCAAACCCTAAACCCTAAACCCTAAACCCAAAGCCCTGAACCCAAACCCTGAACCCTAAACCCGAAACTGCCCGAGACATGATATCCGGGTGCGTCCTTGGCAATTCCAGGCTTGTAGCCCCGAACCCCAACCCTCCAAACCTTGTAAATCCCAGTAGACCCCAAGCCCTAAATCCCTAAACCCTAAACCCCAAACCCTAAACCCTAAACCCCTAAACCCTCACAAAACCCTGCGAGCCCCTAGCCCAGACAGTTGTAGTGTCCCAACATGGTGCCCATCGCCTGAGCCGACGAGGCCGGTGCCTTAGGCTGTTCGTCTGCAGGTGGTTTGGGGTTTAGGGTTTTGGGGTTAGGGGTCGGGGTTTAGGGTTTAGGGTTTAGGGTTTAGGGTTTAGGGTTTAGGGTTTAGGGTTTAGGGTTTAGGGTTTAGGGTTTAGGGTTTAGGGTTTAGGGTTTAGGGTTTAGGGTTTGGGGTCAGGGTTTAGGGTTTAGGGTTTCGGGGTTTAGGGTTTAGGGTTTGGGGGGCTTTAGGGTTTCGAGTCTAAACCCAAGACCCCTTGCCACGCCAAAGCTATGGAAAACCCAGGCGCCATGGCGGGCCTAGATTCCTTGGATGCCTTGGCGCTCGAGTCGTTGTGCCTGGGCCAGGGCTTAAGGTTTAGGGCTTGGGGTTTGGGGTTTAGGGTTTAGGGTTTAGGTTTTAGGGTTTAGGGTTTAAGGTTTAGGGCTTGGGGTCCAGATTAACAAGAGGCCAAGAAAGATGGTTGAGGCTTTGAGGATATGAAGCCTGGACTATTTGGGTGTACAGCCTATGAGAAGATGAAACTGAGAGCCTAGACCCCGGACCCTGAAAACCCTAAACCCTAAACCCTAAACCCTAAACCCTAAACCCTAAACCCTAAACCCTAAACCCTAAACCCTAAACCCTAAACCCTAAACCCCAAACAACCTTAAACACCTTCAAAGCCCCAACAACCCTCACAACGCCACAAATCAAATAGGATTGAACTTGGGCGTCCTTTAGGCGGAAACCCCGAGTTCGCAAGAAACCCTGAACCCAAGAAGAACCTCTTTATTCCCTAAACCAACCCACCCAAAAGGACGCAACTAGCCTTTTGTTTAGGGTTTAGGGTTGTGGGCCTTGAATGTGCTAACGTTGAAGTACTTTGGCATTCAGGGCGTGGGGAGTGCTCTCCAAGTATGCGTCGGGTTTGGTTTCGTGTGTGCGCCTCACTGGTTCAAGTCTTGCAGGGAATTCCAAGCAGAGGCTTCAAAAGCCCTAGCTAACCCTGAGCCTTAAGCCCGAGAATCCTAAACCCTAAACCCTAAACCCTAAACCCTAAACCCTAAACCCTAAACCCTAAACCCTAAACCCTAAACCCTAAACCCGAAACCCTAAACCCCAAACCCTCGGGTCGCGCTGTTCCCGCGGCACAGGGTTTTCTCCCAAACGTGGGGTTTTTCCCGGTGCCGTGCTAAGATCCGTTTTAAGAAGGGCCTGAACCCTCTTGCGAGTTTTAAAGCCCTAAACCCTAAACGCTAAACCCTAAACCCTAAACCCTAAACCCTAAACCCTAAACCCTAAACCCTAAACCCTAAACCCCAAACCCTAAACCCTAAACCCTAAACCCTAAACCCTAAACCCTAAACCCCAAACCCTAAACCCTGAACCCTGAACCCTAAACCCTAAACCCCAAATCATCTCTCCCAGGTTTCCCCACGCGCTGAGAGGCGAAACATCGCACCGCTGTCACAGGGAAGCTTGTCTTCATAGGGGTTTAGGGTTTAGGGTTTAGGGTTCAGGGTTTAGGGGTTTCCAGATCTTCCAGACCTCCCTATCTAGGGCTTAGGATTTGGGGTTTGGGGTTTAGGTTTCAGGGTCTTGCCGCCCCACGATGGCTTGGCTTTAAGTGAGGGATTTTTCGGGCTTCGAAGGGCGTGAGGCCTGAGGGTTGTAGGGTTTTACCCTTTACCCTTTACCCTTTACCCTTTACCCTTTACCCTTTACCCTTTACCCTTTACCCTAAACCCTAAACCCTAAACCCTAAACCCTAAACCCAAAACCCAAAACCCTAAAGCCTAAACCCCAAACCCCAATTCAGTTGGGTTCGTTGGAGCTCTTTTGCTGGTGGCAAACTGGTGGCAAATTCAAATTAGCACGTCGGCTTCTGGGTAAGCCCTAAACCCTAAACCCTAAACCCGAAACCCTATAAACCCTAAACCCTCACCAGCTCTTGCGGCTCTTGGCAACGCAGATCTTCGCGTTTAGGGTACATGGTTCACTGCAGGTTGAGGATGAGAACTTTGTGGTACTTTACTGTAACTTTAGATCCTTACCTTTTTGGGTTTATTGGGTTTCTTATTAAGGCAGCTAAAAGTTTAATTTATAGCTACCCTCCTGAGTGCAGCCAAGAGAAGACAGGGTTTAGAATTTAGGGTTTAGGGTTGGGGTCCCCAAACCTCCCCAGGGTGGTTCAGTGTGTAGGATTTAATTGGGGTTCAGGGTGCCTTTAGGGTTTAGGGTTTAGGGTTTAGGGTTTAGGGTTTAGGGTTTAGGGTTTAGGGTTAAGGGTTTAGGGCTTAAGGCTTCGGGCATCCGGGGCTTTATGGCTTCCAGGACAGCGAGGGCGGCGACGAAAACCTGCCTCTCGGTCGAGAGTGTTGGGGCTGGACTTTGGGGCATCTTCTGAGCCTTTTGGGGACATGTTCGGGTTTAGGGTTTAGGAATTAGGGTTTAGGGTTTAGGGTTTAGGGGTTAGGGTTTACGGTTTAGGGTTTAGGGGGCCTAAACCCTAAACCCTAAACCCTCAACCGCCATGGAACTTGAAATTACTCAAAAGTGAAAAAGCAACTTCTCGAAACTTGTAACTTTCCTCGAAGCTCCTGGAAACTCCTTGAAACCTTCCCGGCACCTTAACCGGGAATAGTTTCCCTAAATCCTAAACCCTTAAAACCTGTCTAGGGTGGATCGCAATGTACAGGGCAGAGTTCCAGCAGCTCTGAGGTTTAAGGTTCCTTGTCGAGCTACGGAAGCCCATGAGGGCTTCAGAGTTTCGGGTTTGGGTTTAGGGTTTAGGGTGTAGGGTTTAGGGTTTAGGGTTTAGGGTTTAGGGTTTATAGGGTTTAGGGTTTAGGGTTTAGGGTTTAGGGTTTAGGGTTTAGGGTTTAGGGTTTAGGGGTTTAGGGTTTAGTGTTTCGGGTTTTGGGTTTTCGGGTTTAGGGATTCGGGTTTTAGGGTTGCAGGTGTTATGGTGTATGGTTTCGGGTAGGCTTGTGGGTTTAACCAGGCATTCTCGATGAAAGCCCCCAGGCTTCGTCATAGACTCTACGCCATGTTCAAACCGCACGGTGCCCATAGAACAAGGCCACCCAGAAGGGCTTCTAGGGTTGGGTTTTTAGGGTGTAGGGTTCAAGGTTTTGGGGTTTAGGGTTCTAGGGCTCAGGCTTTCAGGGTTTAGGCAGGTAATTAGCAGTGCTGAATGGCTGTAGGGTTGCTTTTCAAAGCCCTTAAGGCTGTGGGTTTGAAGGGTGTAGGGCTCTAAGCCCTAAACCCTAAACCCTAAGCCCTAAACCCTAAACCCTAAGCCCTGAACCCTGGACCCTTAAACCCTGAACCCTAAACCCTAAAACCTAAACCCTAAACCCGAAATCCTAAACAACTCCAAACCCTAAACCCTAAACCCGAAACCTAAACCCGACACCCTACACCCGACACCCTAAACCCTAAACCCTAAACCCTAAACCCCCCAAGGAGGGCTCTCGAAAGCCTGAGGCTCAGCTCGGAAGGGCTTTTCACTGTCTTGGAGCATGTGCCTTTTGTCTCCAGTGGCCTGCAGGCTGGATTGTGAGGGGTTTAGGGTTTAGGGTTTAGGGTTTAGGGTTTCGGGTTTCGGGTTTAGGGTTTAGGGTTTAGGGTTTAGGGGCGTCATGTGCCTTTTGTCTCCAGGTGGCCTGCAGGCTCGAATTATTCTTTGTGGGGTCGTAGGTCTGGGCTCAGGGGTTTGGGTTTGGAGGCTTTGGGTTTTGGGGCTTCGGGCTTACGGGTTACGTCCCACCCCCTTCAGTGGTTGCGCTAAAGGGTGCACCCTTAGGAGAATCGTTTTATTTGGGGTCTACATTTGGGGGTCAACTCCCATATGCCACCCTAAACTCTAAGCCCTAAACGCGATTCACTCTGAGCAGGGGTATGAGGATGATTGCGAGGACCTGAGGCGAGAATATGTTTGACAAGAAAGCGCGTTCTCAGGTATGTTCCGATTCGTTTAGTAGTTTTGGCGACCGGGAACCACCCAAAGCCCTAAAAACCCTAAACCTGTAGCCCTAAACCATGAACACCCTAAACCGGTATCCCTAAACTCGAAAAAACCCTGAACCCTTAGGGTTGTTAGGGTTTAGGGTTTTGGCTTAATTTAGGGTTTAGGGTTTAACACCCCCAACCTCTTGCCAGAGGCGGAGCCAGTTGTCTTGGCACACCCGCCCGCATGACACACAGCGCATCTGCGCGTTTGTGGCGTAGAGTGGTCAGGGTGGGGTTTAGGCTTTGGTTCCTTTCTTTGGGTTTTTTGTAGGTTCTTTGGTTCAAAGAGCTCATAAGGGGGAAGTATGCGCCCTTAGGTTTGTTTTAGGATATATAGATGGGGTATAGAAGGGGTCCCCATTTAAGGGCCCATATGAAGGAAACTATGTAACTACCCTTAGAAGCTCGGGTCCTTCCACAGACCGCGCGGGTTGGGGAGGCGATGCACGAATACTTGGGCAACGAGACTGCGCTGGAGCGTGCGCGGCAGGCGCGACACCCAATATACTCTAAACCCTAAACCCTAAACCCTAAACCCTAAACCCTAAACCCTAAACCCTAAACCCTAAACCCTAAGCCCTAAACCCTGCTAGCCCAAGCCGGTGTTCAGGCGGACCCCATCGGCCCGAATGGTTTCATCACGCATGCGGCCGAGCATGTGCCAATAGATCCCTTGCTGCATTTAGGGTTTAGGGTTTAGGGTTTAGGGTTTAGGGTTTAGGGTTTAGGGTTTAGGGCTCCAAGGGCTTAGGGGTTTGGGGGTTCAGGGTTTACAGTTCAAAGAGGTTGGGGTTAAGGGGTTTAGGGTTCATACCCAGCCAGGATTTGAGGGCTCGTACTCCCCGACAAAAGGACCTCGAAAATAGGAGCCACCCTCACCCACCCAGATCTTCCAAAACCCCTTATTTCAGAATAAGGATCCTTAGTATAAATTAAGGTATATTCCTTAATTAAGGGGTTTTTGCAAGATCTGGGCAACTTTGTACCCTTTACAATTGTCTGGAGCCCAAAAATACATCTTCCTTCTACAAGTAGCCCCTGATACCCTTACATGTTCACCCTAAACCCTACCTAGGAACTTCCTGCAACTGCCACTGGGTATGTCCTATCAAAGTGGTTTCCCCTAGTCTGCCCCCCCCCCCCCCCCAAATAGGATAGTCCTCATTATAGGAACCTACCAAAACAGCGTACTGCCATTTTCGGAAACCATCCCCAAACGAAGGCAATAAAGGAGTTTAGGGTTTAGGATTAGGGTTTAGGGTGCAGGCTGTAGGGGTTAGGGTTTAGGGTTTTGAGAGGCTTTGGGATCTGTGTTACTTGCGGAAGAGCACTCTGCCGGACACCTAAGCAGGACTAAGACCCTGAATGGACATGTCCTAAACCCTAAACCCTAAACCCTAAACCCTAAACCCTAAACCCTAAACCCTAAACCCTAAACCCTAAACCCCAAACCCTAAAAACAGGGTTTGGGGCTTAGTGTTCAGGGTTCTTCACAGCCCGGCAAGCTGGGATTGAGGCCCCTGCCTGTTGGCCGGCCCTAAGCCAGAAACCAAAAACCCTAAGACCCTTAAAACCCCAAAACCCTAAGCCCTAAACTCTCAACCCGGCACCCTGATTCTGGGAACCCCCCTAAACCCTAAACCCTAAACCCTAAACCCTAAACCCTAAACCCTAAACCCTAAACCCTAAACCTTAAACCCTAAATATCCCTAAACCCTAAACCCTAAACCCTAAACCCTAAACCCTAGACCTTAAACCCTAAACCCTAAATATCCCTAAACCCTAAACCTTAAACCCTAAACCCTAAGCCCTAAACCCCAGACCCTAAACCCTAAACCCTAAACGCCCTGAACCCCCTGCACCTGCACCCAGGTGAACTCTGTGGTTCAAGCCGTGCACAAGGCCGGTGACGACGGCGAGGCTTTGCAGCGTGCCAGGCGCCGGAGAACCCTAAGCCCTAAACCCTAAACCCTAAACCCTTAAACACCCAAACCCCCAAGCTCTAAACCAGGGGTTTTAGGGTTGTGGGGTTGTGGGGTTGTAGGGTTGTAGGGTTGTAGGGTTGTAGGGTTCTAGGGTTTTAGGGTTGTAGGGTTGTAGGGTTGTAGGGTTGTAGGGTTGTAGGGTTGTAGGGTTGTAGGGTTTTAGGGGTGCAGGGTTTAGGGTTTAGGGTTGTGGGGTTTAGGGGTGTGTATCGGGGTGTAGGATTTAGAGTTTAGGATTCAGGTAAGCATCTGACGTCTTTGGGGCTTTGCTTTTCTTCTGTTTGTGGAGCCTCAGACGCTTCTGGAATATTACGGTCGGCTCATTGCACTGAATTTACCGATCGCAGTGTGCTCAACCCTTGCCCGTTTAGGGCTTAGGGTTCAGCGTTTAGGGTTTAGAGCAAAAGCCCCGTTCTTGAGGTGCTCAAGGCCTAGATGCTGGAAAAAGCTGAAACCCTAAGATCATCATCCCACCCCACATACAAGCTGTTCTTGAGAGCCAGATCCGCTCATCTGGGCACCCCCCAAACCCTGCACCCTAGTCCCCAAACCCTAAACCCCAAATCCTAAACCCTAAACCCTAAGCCCCAAATCCTAAACCCTAAACCCTAAACCCTAAATCTCAAATCTCAGGCCCGAAGCCGTACCCAAGGTAGGTTAGAGATCAGGAGCCGCGATCCCATTGGGAGCCACGGCCGGGGCCTAGACGTGAGCGCTGTGAGGGTTTAGGGGTCAGGGCAAGGGTGTAGGGTTCAGGGTCTAGGGTTTAGGGTCTAGGGTTTCGGGTTTAGGGCTTAGGGTTTAGGCGTCAGTCGGCCTTAGGGTTTGAAGGTTTGTAGGGTTTAGGATTTAGGTTGTAGGGCCTAGGGTTTGGGGTTTCGGGTTTAAGCCTGGCCAAGCATTGAGATTTTGTGCTGTTTTTGTGGCTGAGCTTCTTCGTTCTGTCTACATTGTCTGGGCCCCTGAGCCTGAAGCCAAAGCCCAAAGCGCCATCAAGCTTCGCATCCCAAAAAAAGACGCCCTCCCTCCCTCCCTCCCCCCCCCCCCCCGGTCCGCTTGATGTACTTGTGGATAGAGTTTGGGGGTTTGGGGTTCAGGGCTTGGGCTCCCTCAATCCTAAATCCTAAACCCTAAACCCTAAACCCTAAACCCTAAACCCTAAACCCTAAACCCTAAACCCTAAACCCTAAACCCTAAACCCTAAACCCTAAACCCTCAAGACAAAATAAATAGAAATTGTATGTGGTATCAATCTGAATTTTCCAAGATATTTGTCTAAACAGCTGACAAACAGAGTTTAAGTAAATAAATCCAAAGCGGGAGGCCGGGAGGCCAAATGTTCAATTTACTTAAACCTCTGGGGCCTTCCCGGGCCCCGGCAAACCAAAGCCCAAATCGCCTCCCAAAGCCCAAAATTGGCTTCCAAAACCCCAAATTGTCCCAAAGCCCAAAATTGGCTTCCCAAAACCGAAAACCAAGCCCCAGCATAGGGGAGCAGCCCTTGCCCCAGCCCCAGCCCCAGCCCCAGCCGCAGCCCCAGCCCCAGCCCCAGCCCCAGCCCCAGCCCCAGCCCCAGCCCCAGCCCCCAGCCCCAGCCCCAGCCCCAGCCCCAGCCCCAGCCCCAGCCCCAGCCCCAGCAGCCGCAGCCCCAGTCCCAGCCCAGCCCCAGCCAGCCCCCCCAGCCCCAGCCGCCCCAGCCCCAGCCGCCCCAGCCCCAGCCCCAGCCCCAGCCCGCCCCAGCCCCAAAAATGAAAAGGTGGTTCCAAAAATAAAACGTTTCGGTCAAAACGTTTCGGTCAAAACGTTTCGGTCAAAACTTTCGCTCAAAACGTTTCGGTCAAAACGTTATTGGGACCCAAACCCTATACAATTTCTATAAACCCTAAGCCCTAAGCCCTAAGCCCTAAGCCCTAAGCCCTAAGCCCTAAACCCTGATGAAAACCCACACCTCTTATCCCCCTAAGCCATCTCATGTGCACGTGAGCTTAGCTTGGTATCCCAGTGGTACCCTTTACCCTTTTTTTGGTTCTAGGTTCCCTCAATAAAGACACCAACCCAAAAAAGGGTGCCCTTATCAGAATATGGTTGCTGGGCTACTAAGAACCCCAGTTATAGGTCCACTTGTAACCTACTTGGGGGACTTAGGGTGCTTATAAGCTCAGTTGTAATTGGGGTTATAAGTACCCTGAACCTCCAAGTTGTGCAATATGGCTACTGGGCCAACCCTAAACCCTAAACCCTAAGCCCTAAACCCTAAACCCTAAACCCTAAACCCTAAACCCTAAACCCTAAACCCTAAACCCTAAGCCCTAAACCCTAAACCCTAAACCCTAAAAGGATATCTGACCAAAGTCTTCGAGCACATCCCTCTCGTCTCGGATGGCATGGTGGCGATCCACAAGTGCCTCGGCTGAATGTCTGCGCTGGCCCGGTTTTTTCCAACTTAAGACCCACCTCTAAAGTCCACCCGAAAAAGCCCGGAACCCTAAACCCTAAACCCCAAACCCCAAACCCCAAACCCTAAACCCTAAACCCTAAACCCTAAACCCTAAACCCTAAACCCTAAACCCGAAACCCTAAACCCTAAACCCCGTTTCAGGGAATTGAGAACAGGCTCCGTTGAAGTCGTGCTTCGACCCTCTGATCGGTGCCTGCTTGTTCCTGCATCGATCTCTAAGCCCTCGATTCTTTGTGCTTCTTTCCTGCAACTTTAGATCCTTACTTTTTTTGGGTTTTTTTGGGTTTCTTATTAAGGCAGCTAAAAGTTGAATTTATAGCTACCCTCCTGAGTGCAGCCAAGGATTTAGGGTCTGCGGTTACCCGTGAACCCCCAAGCCCGAACTTGGGTGAACCGAACCGAAACTCTAAAGACGAGCAACAAACCCGAAGCCCTAAGCCCTAAGCCCTAAACCCTAAACCCTAAACCCTAAACCCTAAACCCTAAACCCTAAACCCTAAACCCTCAAGACAAAATAAATAGAAATTGTATGTGGTATCATTCTGAATTTCCCAAGTCATTTGTCTAAACAGCTGACAAGCAGAGTTTGAATAAACTAATCCAAAACGCTTCTGGGAGGCCGAGTTTAAGTAAATTGATTCAAAATACTACTGGGAGGCAAAATATTCAATGTACTTAAACTTGCCTCCCCTGACCTCCCCCGCCCCCCCCTCCCCGGCCCCCCCCTCAAAACCCCCTCCCGCCCTTTTCGGTCCTTTTCGGCCCCTCTTGACCTTCTCCGCACTGAACAAAACCTTTGTTCCACGCCTTCCCAAGCCGCCCCTCCGGAGCTAATTTTGAGCTCCGGGAGTTAATTTTGAGCTTTGGGAGCTAATTTTGAGCTCCGGGAGCTCAACTTGAACTGGGAGCTAATTTTGAGCTCTGGGAATAATTTTAAGCTCTGGGAGCTAATTTTGAGCTCCGGGAGTTAATTTTGAGCTCTGGGAGCTAATTTTGAGCTCTGGGAGCTAATTTTGAGGTCCGGGAGCTAATTTTAAGCTTTGGGAATTAATTTTGAACTTCGGGAGCTAATTTTGAGCTCTGGGAGCTAATTTTGAGCTCCGGGAGCTATAATTTGAGCTCCGAGCTCCGGGAGCTAATTTTGAGCTCTGGGAGCTAATTTGAGCCGCGGGAGCTAATTTTGAGCTTTGGGAGCTAATTTTGAGCTCGGGAGCTAATTTTGAGCTCGGGAGTTAATTTTGAGCTCCGGGAGCTGTCTGGGAACTAGCATTTTGAGCTTTGGAGCTAATTTTGGCAGCTAATTTTGCGCTCCGGGAGCTAATTTTGAGCTTTGGGAGCTAATTTTGAGCTTTGGGAGCTAATTTTGAACTCCGGGAGCTAATTTTGAGCTCTGGGAGCTAATTTTGAGCTCGGGAGTTAATTTTGAGCTCCGGGAGCAAATTTTGAGCTTTGGGAGCTAATTTTGAGCTCCGGGAGCTAATTTTGAGCTCCGGGAGCTAATTTTGAGCTCTGAGACCTAATTTTGGTCTCCGGGAGCTAATTTTGAGCTTTAGGAGCTAATTTTGAGCTCTGGGAGCTAATTTTGAGCTCCAGGAGCTAATTTTGAGCTCTGGGAGTTAATTTTGAGCTCCGGCAGCTCACTTTGAGCAATTTTGATTGAGCTCTGGGAGCTAATTTTGAACTCCGGGAGCTACCCCCCCCCACGCCGACCCTAAAACCTAATATCTAAAAAAAAACTTTCGCTCAAAACGTTTCGCACAAAACGTTTCGCACAAAACGTTTCGCACAAAACGTTTCGCTCAAAACGTTTCGCTCAAAACGTTATTGGGACCCAAACCCTATACAATTTCTATAAACCCTAAACCCTAAACCCTAAACCCTAAACCCTAAACCCCAAACCCTAAACCCTAAACCCTAAACCCTAAACCCTAAACCCTAAACCCTAAACCCTAAACCCTAAACCCTAAACCCTAAACCCTAAACCCTAAACCCTAAACCCTAAACCCTAAACCCTAAACCCTAAACCCTAAACCCTAAACCCTAAACCCTAAACCCTAAACCGCAGCCGTCATCCCACAGCTTGCCTTGGTCAGCTCCCCTCGACTCCCCGCGCCTTTCGCCACGCCATGAGCAGCGACGCCGAGTTCACCGTCTTGTGCTGCGGGGGTGGGAGCCTGTGCTGCGATTCAGGAAGGTACACGAAGTGACCAGCCCTACACCCTAAACCCTAAACCCTAAACCCTAAACCCTAAAACCTAAACCCAAACCCTAAACCCGAAGCCCTAAACCCTAAACCCTAAAGCCCATGTCCGTGCAAAAGGGCATTAAACTTACCTCAAGCCACCAGGCTGAAGAGGTGTCTCCGGTATACCCCGAAGCCCAAAACCCTAAGCCCTAAGCCAGTCTTCCTCAACTCTGAACTCTATAACCCCCAAACCCTACCCTACCCCCCAAACCCCAAACCCTAAACCCTAAACCCTAAACCCCAAACCCGAAACCCCAAACCCGAATCCCCAAACCCTAAACCCTAAACCCCAAACCCTAAACCCTAAACCCCAAACCCTAAACCCTAAACCCTAAACCCCAAACCCTAAACCTCCAGGAACGCGGCGCAGGTTGCCACGGGCCTCTTTGCCGCGCGGCAGCTTGGCACTGGTTTGGGGTTTGGGATTCGGGGTTTAGGGTTTAGGGGTTTAGGGGTTTAGGGTTTAGGGTTTCGGGTTTAGGGTTTAGGGTTTGGGGTTTGGGGTTTGGGGTTTGGGGTTTGGGGTTTGGGGTTTGGGGTTTGGGGTTTCCTTACTCCCTCCGTTGCTTTTTTGCCTTCCGTATATACAGAGAGATCGGGCCTTAAATGGCTCGGGCCCCTTCATCGACCCCAGAAGGCAAGAAGGATCCCCTGCGTGCTTGTTCCGTGGGTTTCGAGGGGCTGCTAGAGGGTAGGGTTTAGGGTTTTAGGGTTTGGGGTTTAGGGTTTCGGGTTTAGGGCTTAGCGTTTAGGGCCCCCTGAGGTACAAGACCATCGCCGTGTCCTTCTTTGCCGATGAGGCCGCCCCAAAACCCAAAACCCTAAACTCTAAACTTGGGGGTGGGCTCTACCATCATTTACTATGGGATTTGCGCTACCCACCGTGGGCCCTCCGTTACAGCTCCGTTACAGCAACTGCTACAGTTCCGTTACAGCTCCGTTGCACCTCCGTTACAGCTTCCACTAGAGCTCCGTTACAACTCTGTTGCACCTCCGTTACAGCTTCCGTTACAGTTCCGTTACAGCTTCCGTTACAGTTCCGTTGCAGCTCCGTTACAGCTCCGATGCACCTCCGTTACAGCTCCGTTACAGCTCCCTTGCACCTCCGTTACAGCTCCGTTACAGCTTCCGTTACAGCTCCGTTACAGTTCCGTTGCACCTCCGTTACAGCTCCGCTACAGCTTCCGTTACAGTTTCCGTGACAGCTCCGTTACAGCTCCATTACAGCTCCGATGCACCTCCGCTGCAGCTCCGTTACAGCTTCTGTTACAGCTCAGTTATACAGCTCCGTTACAGCTCCGTTACAGCTCCACCACAACTCCCGTTACAGCTCAGTTGTACAGCTCCGTTACAGTTCCGTCACAGGTCCGTTATCAAGTTGCTGCTTCTGCTACGGCTCCGTTACAGCTTCCGTTACAGCATCGCTGCAGACGGTAGCGCTCCGTTGCAGCCTTCCGATACGACTCCGTTACAGCTCCGCAACAAGTCCGTTACAGCTCCGCTCCTTTCCGTTACAGTTTCCGTTACAAGCCCCGTTACAAGCCCCGTTACCGGCGAGCATTTCTGTCATAGTAGAGGCCTGCAAATGATGGTAGAGCCCCGCCCCAACTCTAAACCCTAAACCCCAAAAACTAAACCCTAAACCCTAAACCCTAAACCGTAAACCCTAAACCCTAAACCCTAAACCCTAAACCCTAAACCCTAAACCCTAAACCCTAAACCCTAAACCCTAAACCCTAAACCCTAAACCCTAAACCCTAAACCCTAAACCCTAAACCCTAAACCCTAAACCCTAAACCCTAACCTAAACCCTAAACCCTAAACCCTAAACCCTAAACCCTAAACCCTAAACCCTAAAACCTAAACCCTAAACCCTAAACCCTAAACCCTAAACCCTAAACCCTAAACCCTAAACCCTAAACCCTAAACCCTAAACCCTAAACCCTAAACCCTAAACCCTAAACCCTAAACCCTAAACCCTAAACCCTAAACCTCTCTTTCTTATATATATTTAAACCCTATAGTCCTTCGTGGCTAAGGGTCATTTCTTCGTGGCTAAGGGTCATTTCTTCGTGGCTAAGGGTCATTTCTTCGTGGCTAAGGGTCATTTCTTCGTGGCTAAGGGTAATTTCTTTGCTAAGGGCCATTTCTTCGTCGCTAAGGGCCATTTCCTGGTCGCTAAGGGCCATTTCCTGGGTGCTAAGGGTCATTTCTTCGTGGCTAAGGGTAATTTCTTCGTGGCTAAGGGTAATTTCCTTCGTGGCTAAGGGTAATTTCCTTCGTGGCTAAGGGTAATTTCTTCGTGGCTAAGGGTAATTTCTTCGTGGCTAAGGGTAATTTCTTCGTGGCTAAGGGTAATTTCTAATTTCTTCGTGGCTAAGGGTAATTTCCTTCGTGTATTTCTTCGTGGCTAAGGGTAATTTCTTCGTGGCTAAGGGTAATTTCTTCGTGGCTAAGGGTAATTTCTTCGTGGCTGTAAGTGGCTAAGGGTGATTTCTTCGTGGCTAAGGGTAATTTCTTCGTGGCTAAGGGTAATTTCTTCGTGGCTAAGGGTAATTTCTTCGTGGCTAAGGGTAATTTCTTCGTGGCTAAGGGTAATTTCTTCGTGGCTAAGGGTAATTTCTTCGTGGCTAAGGGTAATTTCTTCGTGGCTAAGGTTAATTTCTTCGTGGCTTGGGGTCATTTCCTTCGTGCCGAA